TCTCACAGTCTGCTGTTTGAGCAGCTATTCAGTTAAGATCTGCGTAGATGTTTATTTGCCTTATCACTTTCTGTAGCTTATCAAGGTCTCTATCTTTCACCAAACGAGACAAGTGGCTTAGCACATGCCATCCTCCGCAGTTTCATCTGTGATCAACAATATTTTGAGTCTCCTGATTACTTAGTTACATTGGGAATGTGTTGAATAAATATCTTTTCACACTCTTCCTGGATTTTTCTCTTCTTGCTGAAGAACTACTTCTAAGGACATTTTCAAATGTCTTTCTCTTAGTACTTCAGTGATAGGTTAGCTGGATATAGAATTCAAGTTTCAAAACCTTTTCAACTGGAAAGTAGAACACAACTGGTTTCTTGTCTTCAATGCAACTCACGTACAGTTTAATGTCAATATAATTCTACTCCCTCGTCTTGACATTTAAGAATTTCACTTAATAGTGTTCATGCAAAACCCATTCATAGACCAAGAAACTGGTGTCTGAACAGAACAAGGGAACACTGTGTGGCTTGAAATTAGAAAAAGTGTGTGCCAAGCTTATATCTTTTCTCCATACTATTCAATATGCACACTGAGCAAATAATTCAAGAAGCTGGACCCTATGAAGAAGAGTGTGGCACTAGGATTGGAGAAAGACTCATCAACAATTTTCAGTTATACAGATGACACAACCTTACTAACAGAAAGTGAAAACTACTTAAAGCCCTTACTGCAGAAGATCAAAGACCACAACCTTCAATATAGATTACATCTCAATGTCAAGGAAACCAAAGTCCTAATCATTGGACCAATAGGTAACATCATGATATATGGAGAATAAATTGAAGTTGTCAATGATTTCATCTTACTTGGATCCACAGTTAACATCATGATAATCCAGAATGCAGAAGACATATTTCATTGGGGACATTTGCTGTCAAGGACCTCTTCAAACTGCTCAAGAGCAAGAATGTAATTTTAAAGATAAGTGTGCTTGATCCATGCCATAGTCTTTTCCAGTTACTTCCTATGCATCTGAAATTTAAACAATGGAGAAGAGTGACAGGAGAATCATCAATGCCTTTGAAGTGTGGTGTTGGAGAAGAGTACTGGATCTCTTATGGACTGCCAAAAGAGGAAACAAATCTGTCTTGGAGGAAATGCAACCAGAGTGTTCCTTAGAGGAAAAGATGGTGAAACTTTGTCTTACATATTTTAGATATATTGTCAGGAAAATAATGTCTTGGAAAAAGACATCCTGATAAAGACAAGTGGAGGGTCCGAGAAAGAGAGGAAGACCCCCAACAAGATGAATTAACCCAGTGACTTTTAAGAAAGGGACAAAGCCTATCATAAAGAGTGAGGATGGTATAGGACAGGGCAAGATTCACAAGGTCGCTATGAGTTATTGAAGCTGAACTGCAATCCCAAAGGTATGTGGTTCAAATCCACCAGCTGCTCCGAGGGAGAAAGATGGGCACTCTCCTCTCATTCGATTAACTGCCCCTGAAAACCCACTAGAGGGTCAACTATGAGTCAGTTCTGACTCAACAATATAGTACATGAGTTATACTTGACTCAATGGCACCTAACAAAAATCTGATGTCATTCACCTTTTTGATAACTTCCTGTTCATGATTGCTTCATGCTAATTGTTTTTCCTTCGCTTTTCTGATAGTACAGTAGTCAAAGTACTGAACAGAAGGTCAGCAGTTCAGACACCACCATTCTACAGATGAGGCTGTCTGCTTCTGTAAATAGTTATCACCTTGGATGCTTCATGGGCAGTTCTACTGTCCAGCAGGGTCACTATAAGTCAGAATGAATGGCAATGGGTTTGGGGTTATTACAAGACTAAGAAACTCTGATGCTACACAGGCTAAGTACTCAGCTGTTAACCAACAGGTTGGCGGTTTGAACCCACCAGCTGCAGTCTGTTTTATAAAGATTACAGCATTGGAAATCCTATGGGGCATTCCTACTCTGTCCTAGAGTCACTGTGAGTTGGAACTCACAGCCATTTGTTTGTTTTAGACAATTAGGGAGCAGAACTAGTTCATTAATAGACTTCTCACCTTCATGAGCTCTGGTGGCCAAGTGGTTAAAGATTTGCCCTGCCAACCCAAAAGCATAAAGTTCAAATCCACCAGTTGCTCCCAGAGAAAGACAGGCAAAAGTTCCCCCCCCTCCCCATGCACTTTACAGCTTCTGAAACCCCACTGAAGAGTCAGCAACGACTCCACAGCACATAGCAGCTCAACCACAACATGCCAGAAAACTGGGCTCAATTCCCAGCCGATGCTCCTCACCCACAGCCCCCACCATCATGGAGGCTTGTGCATTGATATGGTGCTAACTGGTTTCAGTGGAGTTTCCAGATGAAGAGAGACCAGGAAGGCAGGCTGGTGACCCACTTCCAAAATCCAGCTCCTAAAAACTCTATGGCTCACCACTGTCCGTGCACAGCCCATCGTGGAGATAGTGCTGGACTGGATGAGGGTTCTTTCCAGAGGTCCATGGGGTCATCACAGGCTGGGGGCTGATTTTATAGCAACTTAAGAACCTCATAAGATAAAGACTGGTGCGCTCTCTTCTCCACGTCCTACATCTTTGCCTTTGTGGTTTCCATTTCTTTGGTCTTCCTCCTGGATCCTGAGAGTGTCCTGAGCTCTTTTTGCCAAGTTCTTCTTCCAATTCATCTATTTTCCACACTCAGTCTTCTTTGATTGTTTGGTCCAATATCAGCTACTCATCCCACCAGGTATCAACCTACTGAGATATGAGGATTTACTGGAAGTCTGAATGTGGTCCATTCGCTTGAGTGCCTCTGCCGTGACCTGTTGTTTAAGTAATTGAGTTCATCAGTTGTTGTTATTGTTGGGTACCTTTGAGTCAACTACAACTCATAGCAACCTTGTGTACAATGGATCTGAACCCTGCCCCATCCTGCACCTTCCTTATCACCTCTGATATAGTTAATGCCATTGTTACAGTCATTGGCTCAAACCATCGTGTTGCAGGTCTTCCTTTCTTTCGTTGGCCCTCCATCTTTCCAATCATGATGTCCTATTCCAAGGACCAGCCTCTCCTGACAACATATCCAAAGTATGGGACATAGAGCTTCACCATCCTTGTCTCCAAGGAGTATCCTGGCTGCACTTTCCCCAAGGCACGTTTGTTGGCCCTCTTGATAGTCTATGGGCTATTCAATCCTCTTCTCTAACATGACAACTCAAGGCATCAATTCTTCTGTCACCCTTAGTCACCATCCAACTTTCATAGAGACCCCATATGTGACACAAGGCACAGCCCAGTCCTTCCCTGTCCCCCATCGGTAGGTGCTAACCCTCTTCTTCAGCCACTGTATCAGTCCAGCTCACTGAGGGTTTTCCTCTTTTTCACTGACCCCCTACCAAGTAACCACATCCTTCTCCACAGACTGGTCCCTCAGGAAACCATTACGTTCAAAGTACATGTGGTCAAGTCTCACCATCCTGGCTTCTAAGGAGCATCTTTGATTGTCCTTCTTTCCAAGACTGCTTTGTTCATTCTTCTGGCAGTCCCTGGTATGTTCCGTACTCTTCTCCAACATAAAAATCCAAATGTATCAGTTCTTTTTCAAGCAAGGATGTCACCTGCATGACTAAGGGGTGCCTGATTCAAGCCCTAGTCTTTTCAATCACCTCGTAGGCAACGGAAGGCTGAGTTCAGGACCTTTTAGCTAACAGCTGAGTGCTTCAACAGCTGTGCCCCAGGGGGCTCATGAACTTGACAGAGCATTTGTTTTTCCTCTGAGACTGTGCCCTCAAGGGTGCCAGCTACATAGACAGGTATTGTGGAGACAGGAAAGGGGCCTACAGGCCAGAATTTAAGGAGGCTGCTCAGGAGAGCAGGGGAGCAGAGGCCCCAGGATTATCACTGGACTCCACCTTCTCCATGGTCCCCTTGGGATATTATTCCCCCTGACCTCTGCCCCTGGGTGCTACCCTCTTAACAGGGAATGCCTTAGCCCGCTGCCAGGAGAAGCCGCCCACTCTGTCCCAGTGCTCTGAAATCTCACTGCTGTGCTCACCCCCCCCCCGGGGACATAGGTGGGGACCGCTCAGCAAAAAGCACCTCCCTGTCAGGCTGTCCCCACCAGCACTGCCCTCAACTCCACCCTCCCTTTCCCGTCATTCTTCACACACACACACACACACACACACACACACACACACACACACACACCCCTCAACAGTGTGTCCCTTGGAATGTCCCCACATGAGTGTGTCTTGTGTTTCATAAATCCAGCCTTCAGGTGGAGCAGCCCCAGGGTTGCCTACCCCTCCGAGGAAACCGGCTAAACCCCAGCTTGACAATGTGGCACTCCCAGGGAGGAGCAGGGGACAGATGCAGGTTTGCCCACAGTGCTAGCAAACACACAGGCCCCAGTGAGGCTGTTACTCCTTTAACTTGGTGGGTTTACACTGCAGCCATGGAGACCCCAGGGCCCTCAGTCCTGAGTCAGGGCTCCCTGGGATGGGCCAGGGCAGCCTTCCAGGGCACAGGGCGCAGATACCGCTGGCCATAAATACCTTCACATAAATACAGGGTGGGATATATTTCCAGGTAAACGTTGGGCCAAGCTGCAACAGCCCCAGGCCTAGCACCAGCTGAACCTGCCTCAGTGGCAGGGCCCCACCTGTCCTCAGAGCTGACCCAGGGCCAGGCCTGCAGGACAAGGTGGGCGTCCTCCACACCAGCATGCTGAGTGTCTGGTGTGGCCCAGGGCCTGTCCACTTGCTGGACCCAGGCAAGGCCAGCTGCAGCCTCTCTCCTTAAAGCGGAGCAGCCCTCCTCAAACCAGGCAGCTCCTTCCATCCAGTCCTCCACAAAGATGTTGCTTGTGCCTCTGAGAGTGGGACTGGAGTCCTGGGTCCATGGATCACCCCCAGCCATCACCAAAATCCCTGGATCCCCGTGGCCGGAATGTGGGAGGCAGGATCTCAGTTGCCACTGTCCCAGGACTATTGGTTTGTTGCCACCTTGCCGTTGAGCCTGGACGCAGGGCTGTGGGAGGCTGGGTGAGTAGCTGCTGTGGGGAGCACAGGGAACGGGGGAGTCAGAATCTACCTCTCCATCTCCCCACCCAACACTGGCTCTAGCCCCATGCTACAGTCCAAATTCTTGAAGTCAAAGGGCAGTGGACACCCACCGCCCCATGGGGGGCCCGTGGCCTCCAGCCTTAAAGCCACCTGCTGGTACGTGCCAGGCTTACCAGTGACACGGGCGTTCCTCACCCTCTTACCTGGGCCCAGGGCTGTGGACAGACTCTCCAGGAGCTGGGGGGACCCACCTGCAAGAGGATAGCTCATGTCAGTGCCCCCCACCACCAAGTGCAGTAAAGGGGTAATTCTAACTCAGCACAGCCTCTTGTCCAGTCTCACTCTCCAGCCTCCTTCTCAAATGAAGCCCCACTCTGACCCATCCAGGCAGCTGGGGAACATCAGGAGGCCAGGCTTGGGGCTGGGTGGAAGTGGTCAGGGCCCAGGACTTCTGACAGCTGTGAGGCCCTGCCCACAGACACAGCCATGGGGAGAGAGCAGGGACAGGGTGTCGGGCTTGGAGTTACCTAGCCTGAGGCAGCACCCACAGCGCTTTTCAGCAGGAGGGCTGGATTCAAGGAAAGTGTATCAGGGCTGACATCCTGAGTCACATCAGCCACAAGACCCAGGCTTCTCCTCCTGGCCATCCTGGCCTTAGGCCAGAGGAAGGGACCGGGCTCTCAAGACCTCCAGCAGAATTCCAGTTTTGTCCTCTACAGTCGGTCAGTTTGTGTTGCAATACCAAGTCTGACCACTAGATGGAAACATGGTCAGCGCTATGTTCCCAAGCACGACTGGAAACTTCAAAGCTTTGGGAGGGTGGGACCCCTTCCAATTCCTTCTCACAGCTCATAACAGTTCGGGGTCCAGGCCGCTTCGGAGAGGGCCAAAAAGATGCACTTGCACATGCTCCATAACAGCCTCAAGCCAACGATCCCAGGTCTGGAACCCGCTCATAGCCACGCCCAGAGCGAGTGGACTCCCATCCACATTCCTGTGTCTGTGCTCTACGGGCCCCAGGGTTGGCATACGGCCGCTCTGCAGAGATGCGCCTGGGGAAGTGACTATGAGCACCAGACCAGAGGGAGCAAGAGCTACCACTGAGCTCTGTCTACTTCATGGCAGAAAGTTCTAGTCTTCAGGAAAGTGCAGAAGCCAGAGGGACCATCATTGCCACTCTCTCTGTGCTTGCGTCTTTGCCTATGTACAGATGTCCACACTTATGTACTAATGTTTGGTGCCATCAAGTCGAGTATGACTCATAGCGACCCTATGAACGTCAGAACCCTGTCCTATCCCGTGCCAACCTGACAATCTCTGACACACTCGAGCTCATTGCTACAAGGACTGCCAATCCATTTCATTGAGGGTCTTCTCCAAAGCATGCTATTCCTCTCCAAGAGACAGCCTCTCCTAGCAACATGCCCAAAGTACGTGAGAGGAAGCTTTGTCATCTTGGTCTCCAAGGGGCATCCTGGCTATACTTTCTTGAAAATCTATCAGGCAGAGCACTTGCTGGAGCCAGGGCACAGAGTTCCCCCTGTACCTGGGGCCCCACTCACCTTCTTGACACCTGGGCCCCGTGTAGCCATCTATGCAGCGGCACTGTCCAGTTACGGGGTCACAGTCAGCTCCACCCCTACAATCACAGCGCAGGGCGCAGCCAGGCCCAAAGCGCCCCTCTTTGCATTCTACAGGGTAGGAGAGAGACCAGCTGTGTGTGAGCGAACCCTGTCCACCCAGGTGTGGTCACTGCTACCAAGAAGTACAGCCATCAGGCCCAATGTTGTTCTCTAGCCTCCTCCAACCCACCCCGTGAACCGTGTGGAAAGCGCTGAGCAGGAACGGGCCCACAATCACCAACCCAGGTTCTAGCCCCAGTCAAGCTGGCAAGGGAGGCTGGTGGTCAGTGCTCCTGCCCAGGACAGGAGGAACTGCTGCCCACGCTGCACCAGAGCAGCATCTGTCTCCCTCAAGGTGGGCCTGCCTCCCCAGTCATGCCAGCCAGGAGGGTCTCATTCCCCCCCAAGGACCGGGGTCCTCAAGGTGGCGGAAGCCCCTCCAGGCCTGTGGGTAATCAGAGGGCAGGTCTGATCTCAGAAAACACTGAGCAGGAACTTCATGCATGGACTCCAAGACTCAGAGAGCTCTCAGGAAGGCAAGAATCTGCACTGCAATCCCAGAGGTACGTGGTTCAAATCCACCAGATGCTCTGCTGGAGAAGGAGGGGCAATCTCCTCCTGTACCAGTCAGATCCGATTTGACGGTACACTCACACACACACACAAATAATTTTAAACAAAAAAAGAAAGAGTCAGAGAGATCTCCCCGACTGACTGGGGCCCCAGAGGGGGTGAGGAAGCAGGGAGAGGGGTGCACAGGAGGTTGATCTGGGGCAGTGCCAGCAGGCAGGGGGCACAGGGAGAACTCATTCAGCATAGTCAACATTCACCCCTGATGGACAGCCCTCCCCTGGCCCACTGCTGCGCAGACCCAGACTCACCAAGGTCACATGTGGCTCCCGTGCGCCCCGGAGGGCAAAGGCATTGGCCGGTGACAGGGTTACAGGGTGCTCCTCCCTCACAGGCACATCGCTGCCCGCAGCCCTCCCCGAAAGAGCCTGGGTCACAGCCTGGCGGGGACAGTGTGCTCAGCTCCATCGCCCCGCCAGGCTGGGTGGCAGGAGGGGACTGTTACTGAGGTCACTGAGCACTCACCTCGCTGACAGAACTGGCCCTGGAAGCCAGCAGGGCAGAGGCACTGCCCGGTGACGGGGTGGCAGGGGGCTCCATGCTGACACTGGCACATCCCCCGGCAGCCGGCCCCGTGGAAGCCGGGGGGACAGGCTGAAGGAGGGCCCCAGTTAGAATGTGGCCAACGGAGGAGGTGGCAGAAACCTGGCAGCAGCTCCCCAGCCTTGGTCCAGACTCAGTTTACCGGGAGTGGGACCAAGCCACCCATCAGAAGCCCCTCCTGCACTCTCCTCCCTAGCCCCCTGGTTCTCTGTCCCCAGTGGGGGGCTCGGAGGAGGGGTGGCAGGGTGGGGATCTGGGAGAAACCAAGCATGGCCAGGGTGTCTCACTCAGGCCTGCTCACATGGACCCCAGGAGGAACAATAGAACAGAAACTGGTCACTGCCATGGCCAAGGCCTTCCTAGACTGCCCTCGGGTGGGCCCAATCTCCCGCACTCACGGTGCTCGCAGGCCGGGCCGTAGAAGCCAGGGCCGCAGCGGCAGGCCCCCGTGGCAGGCTCACAGGCTGCGCCGTTGCGGCAGGCACACTCCAGGTGGCAGGCGGCACCGTAGCGGCCAGGTGGACAGGCTGAGGAGAGGGCGGACAGGTGAGCCTCCCTCCACGAGGGAGACGAACAGGGTTCAAGCCAAGTCCCTCCATGTGATACCTACTCCAAATGACCCCAAATCTCAGCCCACCCAGTAGGAGTCCAGGCCTCTCCCTTCGGCCAGCACTCACCTTGCTCACAGTGTGGCCCCGTCCAGCCCAGGCTGCAGGCACAGCTGCCGTTGGAGGCATGGCACAGACCCCCGTTTCTGCAGGAACACACACCCCTGCAGCCCACACCAAACTGGTTCCTGGGGCAGCCTGTGGGCAGAGGAAGGCGGCCTGCTCAGCCCAGGAGGGGCGCTCCTCCACCCTGGAGGGGGCCTGCCTGCCACAAGAGGCCCTGACTTCAGCAATTAGCACCCCTGTGGCCAGGATGCCTGAAGATTTTGCGGCCCACAGGCCCTGAAGGGCCTCCAAGATGGAGAGCTGGGGGTGTCATCAGAGGGTGGCAGAGAACCCAGGTCTAGCAGGGTGTGGGGACAGGCCTGTAGACACGGCCCTGGGGACCGGGCATGCCATTGTGAGCTCGGGCAGCTACGACGGTGCCCAGGCTCATCACTCCACCGCGGCTTGTGCTCTGAGCTGCCTGTTAACAAAGGCCCGACCCCTGGGACCAGTGGAAATGGTCAGTAGGACTCTCCTCCAGCAGGACATCAACCAGCCAAGAGCCTGGCACCATCCTCAAGACTTCTCCATGAGTTGACGAGGCCTAGGTGGGGGCTGATCCATCTCTACCAGCCTTAGGGATTGTAAGTCACCTGAGCCTCAGGGCGGGCAGTTAAGGGGACTGGGGGCGGGGAAGGGGATGTTGGTGATACTCCAGGTGCCGCACACACCTTGCCAGGTGGGCTCACACCTCCTACCCCCAGGGCCACTGGGGAATAAGCTGTAGAGTTGAGTTGATCATCAGACCACACCCCTTCCGGAAGTGCCCACCAGAGTGGAAACCCGGTTACTGCACTCACCGTGCTCACAGCGGACACCAGTCCTCCCAGGGGGACAGGAGCAGGCGCCCGTCACGGGGTCACAAGCCGGTTCCTCCCCACAATCGCACACGTGGGCACAGCCAGGGCCAAAACGGCCCTGTGGGCAAGCTGCCAAAGAAGACAGGTGAGGCTGCCCCCTGGTCAGGCCCAGCAACTGACTCTCCACTCTCTCCCCATGGGGAAGACAAAAGAGTGGGGTCTATTGCCCCGGGCCAAGGGGCTGCAGCAGCCATGCCCTTCCTCTTCTCTTTCCCCTCCACCTTGTCCTTTTCAGTGTGACCTGCTGCTGCCCACCCTGCCCTGCCGACCTGCACGTCCGGCTTAGAGCTGGGGACCACCCATGGCTCAGGAAAGGCTCTTTTAGCCCCAGGATGCTGGGCTGCAGATAAAGGTGGGGAGCAGCACGGGGTGTCCCCAGAGAGCCAGCAGGGACATCATCCAGGGCCACCTCTTGCCACCCTACTTACAAGGCTGTTGTTGTTAGGTGCCGTCGAGTCTCTGTGACTCATAGCGACCCTATGTACAACAGCCTAAACCCTGCTCTGTCCTGTGCCAACCTCACTGTCTCCGACACACCCATCCTGATTACCCCAGTCACTGAATCAATCCACCTCATAGAGGGCCTTCCCCTCCTGCGCTAGTGGAGGTAAATGGAAGGTACCCATTCCTGCCTTGTTCCATTGTTCCTTACTTCAAGGCCCACTCCATCCCAGCTCCTCAACCCTGCCTCCACCCCAAAGCCCCCTTTCTGTACCTCAGTACTCCAACCCATCCCAGGCCCCCAAACCAACCCCTCATGCCCCCAATTCCCACCCCTGCAGTGGTCACTCACTGAGGTTACAGTCGGTCCCCAGGAAGCCAGCAGGGCAGCGGCAGGCCCCGGTGGCCGCGTCACAGGAGCCACCATTGTGACACACACACTGCTGTTCACAGCCTGGCCCGAATCGCCCGGGTGGGCAGCCTGCAGGAGATGACCAGCTTCTAGAGCTGCAGTGGACACTACGCCAGAGTCCCCAAGGACAGCTCTGAGAGACGACACCCCCTCAGCACCCCCAGGGACAGTCCATCGCCCCCCACAAGGTAGCACTGCTTCATTAATACCCCCAGGAAAGACCAAGAACCTCGTGCTCCCAGACATCCCACTGCCGACCTGGCCAGCGAGGTGAGCATGGGGTGGGCACGGACGGAGGGCACTCACGTTGCTTGCAGCCGCTGCCATGATAACCAGCAGTGCACACACAGGCCCCTGTGGCAGGGTGGCATGACTGCGTCTCACTGGGACACTGGCACCTCTGGGCACAGCCCTCTCCAAAGGTGCCAGGTGGGCACTCTGGGGCAGATGAGAAGAGAGCATTGGTCCTGGCCACAGCCTGAGTCTCAAACCCTCTCCAGGAACCCCCCAAATGGGATGGTTTTGGGGGTACAGCTCAAGCCTGACACTGCCAAGCTGTTGGCCTACCTCATCCAGGGTTAGGGGCACCTACCCTGCTCACAGCCAAGCCCTGTGAAGCCAGGGGGACAGCCACACTCCCCGGTGACATGATGGCAGGCAGTGCCCAGTGGACAGTGGCAGCGCTGAGCACAGGCCTCTCCAAACCAGCCAGGCGGGCAAGCTGCAGGGAAGGCAAGGGCTGGGGAATTTGGGGAGACGGGGCCAGGAGACCTGGAATAGGGACCACGCCTGTGTGGAGAACTGTCCCTGAGGTACTGGCCCTCAGTGCTGGTGACCAGGTGGGTCTGGGCCCAACACCCACACCTTACTCCCTTCCAACCCGGGGTCAGGGTGGACCTGGGACCATTCCTGCTTGGAAGACCCCAATCCCCTGGGTACCAGTGACCAGGTGACCCTGCGCTCACCACTCTCACACCTCGCGTCCCTCCATCCTGGGGGGCAGAGGCAGATGCCAGTAACCTGGTGACAGGGGGCTCCCCGCCGGCAGACACATCGCTCCTGACAGCCAGCCCCAAAGGTGCCCTCAACACAGGCTGCAGACAGCAGGTGGAGGGGGGCTGAATCAGGACCTTCCTTCCGTCTGTGCCCCCACATTTCACAGCCCCCAAGGGCTGGGTGTGAGGTCAAACTCCACCCCAGGTAAAGCAGTTCCACCCCCATAAGACCACCTTTCTAGGTAAGGACCCTCCCTGGCACCCCTGGAAGCTCAGGAGGCAGACACTGACACCCAACCCCCAGCCCTCTGCACCCTCTCACCTCCACGACCCAACCCTAGAGGGTCCCCGCCCCTTTCACTCACGACTCTGGCACCTGTCCCCACCCCAGCCGGCTGGGCAGAGGCAGGCGCCCGTTCGGGGGTCACAGAGCCCCCCATTGAGGCAGTCACAGGTATGCTGGCAGCCGGCACCGAAGTGCCCAGGGAGACACTCTGCAGGATGGGAGCAGAGTGAATGAGGGTCTCCTGGCCCTGCAGACACCCAGCCACACTGCCCGCACCCAGAGCCCCAGAGACCTGCTCAGAAGCGACAGGCTGGTCACCATGCAAGTCCACAGCCACACCCAGGACGCTGACCCTGACCAGGGAGATTGGGGGCAGCCCTGGCTCCCACAGTCCCAGAGGGCCCTCCCACCCTGGCCCTCTAAGCTCACCCTGCTCACAGGCTGAGCCGGCCCAGCCTTCAGGACAGGTGCAGCGGCCTGACACGGGGTCGCAGGTGCCTCCGTTCTGGCAGATGCAGGGATGCTGGCAGCCCTCACCATAGAGACCCACAGGGCAGGCTGAGGGGGACGGAACAGGCAGTATCAGCCCAGCAGACCGCAAAAGCTCACCAGGGCCACCTCTCAGGTGATCTGCTCCAGGAATACCCTGGGTGCCTCCCTCCCAGCCCTGTAAGCACAGGGCTGAAGAGGCACTTCCAGCCCCAGACACCTCCACCTCCCTTGGGTACCAGCTCCCAACACGCTGCTGCTGGTCTGGGTAAGCCTGGCATCCGGCACAGTGGTCCATTTCCATGTGACCCCTTCACAGCCTCATGAGGGTCAAGTCCTAGCCCAAGGTTGAGTTCCTGGACTCCCAGAACTAGGTTCTTTGTCCCTGAGTTGCTGGAAGCCCTGCAGGTGAGTTTACCTTGCACACAGGTGGGCCCCATCCAGCCCGGGGCACAGTGGCAGCGCCCGAGCACGGGGTCACAGGTCGCCCCGTTGGCACACGTGCACTCCTGGCTGCAGTTAAGGCCATAGGTGTGGGTAGGGCAGGCTGGGGGAGGCAGAGGTTCAGTCAGGCCTCTGCGCCCCTCTTCCTGTGGCCACACCACCCTTCGGGGCCAGGGCTTTTCACAATCGGGGCATCGTCACCCATGTGGGAAAGGGGGTGTCTGGGAGCAACAGCAGACGCGGCCGGCCACGTGGTGGCTCTGAATCCCCTCTTCCCAAGACATCAACAAGTGTGCCAGCCCCCACTCCTCCTCAACCTGCCCCCACCCTCAGTGGTGCTAAAGCCCCATGGTCACACACCCTGATCACAGCGGGGGCCCCGTCGCCCCGCTGGGCAGACACAGGTCCCGTTCACGGCGTCGCAGGGGGCCCCACCAGCACAGTCACAGGCCCTGAGGCAGTCCACGCCAAAGAAGCCAGCCGGGCAGGCTGCAAAGGAGGGGGTGGTGAATGAGGGGGTGGTGTACCTGGGCTCCCGGGTCCACCCACCATACCCCGCTCACCTCGCTCACAGAAGGTGCCCCTCCAGCCGGCTGTGCAGGTGCAGGCCCCGCTGACATGGTCGCAGGCAGCGCCGTGCTCGCACCAGCATCGCTGTCCACAGCCCGGCCCAAAGCGGCCCTGCGGACACCCTGAGCACAGTCCGAGCACCATCAGCAGGGCCCGGGCAGCGGGCTCACGGGCACGCCTTCCCACCTGCAGGGCCTGCCTCCCGCTCCCGCCGCCCACCCAGCCAGGAGCCAAGTTCCAGGGCGTGGAGGAGCCGCGTCTCCTGGTCGACCAGGGCTACTTCTGGGAGACCTGCCCCAGGACTACCCTGGACACCACCAAGCCTCCTGCTCCCGTGAGAATCACCTCATGGGGTCGTTCAGGCCCTCCAGGCCAACCCATCAGCCTGTGGGGTTAGGGACTTCATCTGGGGCCACCTCCTAGACAAGCTGAACCCCACTAAGCCCATAGCATCAGGCCCCCTTCAACTTCTCCTATGTGCCAGGTGGCCCGTGAGGACGTGACAGCCCTCACTGTACATTCCAAGTGGGTGACATCTGACATATTAGGGGAGGGTCACCTCCCTTCTCAATTCAGGGGCATGAGGACTTGCTTCTCTGGGTTAAGATGGGACTCCTCTGAGCTCCTGAAACTTGGGGCCCCTGTGGTGAGGTCTGGAGTGGGATCGGGTGGGGACAGCCAAGATCTGGCCCAACTCACTGAGCTCGCAGTGGTGGCCCGTGTAGCCGGCCTCACACAGGCAGCGGCCACTGGCAGCCTCGCAGCTCCCGCGACCAGCACTGCAGTTACAGGGGTGCCTGCAGTCGGGCCCCCAGTGTCCCCCATCACAGGCTGTAATGAAGGTACTCACATGGTACCGGTTCACCAGGGAGGTCAAGGGGCAGGGGCAGCCTAGGAGGGACCCCAGGAAGCCCAGTCCCAGGAGCCTCTGTGTGGTTAAGACAGGAAGGTGTGGTTACGGGTGATGGGGCCCCCAGTACCCAGTCAGGTTGAGGGGCAGGGGCAGCTCAAGAGGGACCCCAGATGACCCACCCCCAGGGAACTCTGTGTGTGGCAGGGAGAGGGACAGGGATGATAGACCCTCAAGGGGTGGGGAACACATCAGTAGGGACCCCAGGGGTTCTCATCCTGAGGGTCTCATTCATGGCAGGGAGGTGGTGACATACCTCTGCGACAGTCAAGGCCCATCCACCCAGGGGCGCAGCTGCACTGGCCGGTGGCTGGGTGGCAGTGCCCTGCGTTGGCACAGGAGCAGCTGGCCTGGCAGCCGGGTCCATACCAGCCCACAGGGCACACTGCAGGGGAGACAGGGTGAGCACCAGGGCCCAGCCCGCCACCCCGAAGCACACCCAGGGCCCCACTTACCATCCTGGCAACGGCTGCCTACATAGCCGGGCGGACACAGGCAGGCTCCTGTCTCAGGGTCACAGCTGGCACCGTGGTCACATGCAGGGCAGATCTCCTGGCAGCCGAGTCCCCAGCGGCCCTCAGGACACTCTAACCCCCAAGGTTGTGTCAATGCCCCTGCCGCTTTTGGTACCACCAGAAGCCCCCTCCACCCCGGAGCCAGGAAAGGCTGCAGGGCACCACCCAGTCCCAAGGAGGACTGAGCAGACCTGGGAGCTCTGGAGGGGCTGCCAGGGGCTCCACACTGGTGACCAGGCCACGGATAAGGTCTGCCGGCTCACTGAGTATCCTCTAATAGCCAAGAGACACTCTCCCATGGGGAACCCCTCCCCACTCCTTAGCAGGACTGACCTGTTGGCTGACTGAGTGTCCCCTATTGGCCAAGAGGCCCCCGTGCTGCCCACCATGGGGCACCCCCCACTCCTTAGTAGGACTGGTCTGCTGGCTGATTGAGTGTCCTCTATTAAAGAGGCCTCAGTGCTGCCCCCCATGGGGCACCCCCTACTCCTTAGTAGGACTATCGGGAGCAATTCTGAGCCAGAATTCTGACCCCCAAAATGGTCTGGGGTCACGGGTACCTCAAACACTACTGGGCAGGGCTCAAGAGTTCTTTAACCATCCTTGGGGCTGAGTCAGGAGTCCCCAACCATGGTCAGAGGCTACGTTACTCTCATTACATCAGTGCATCGGTTCAAAGAGACATGGTTCGGGCTGGGGCAGCCTCATAGTGGAGGAGCTGAGGAAAAGACTCGGGGAGGCCCCTTGACACTTACCTGCCCCACAGTCGTCCCCAGTCCTCCCTGCAGGGCACAGGCATTGCCCCGTGACCCGGTTGCAGGGGGCTCCCCCACAGGAGCAGGAGTCCGAGCAGTTCACACCAAATGTCCCCTCTGGACACGCTGCAGGAGGAAGTAGGACGGACTCAGCCCCACACTCATCTAGCCAGAGCCTCTTCTCTCTTGGCGGTCCCAGCCATTGGGTCCCACATCCCCTAACCTGTCAGGCACCTGTTTTAGCTCCAGCTGGGCTGTTGAACATACCCTGGTTCCCAGGTGACCATGGCAGGTCACAGGAAAGGACTGGAGAGAGGCACACACAGCAGGGCTGACAGGATAGGATCTCAGAGGGGGTCAGTAGGGGGGGTGACCATAAGCAAAGGCTGCACATGCTGAGTGTCAGTCTCTCAGGTCTCAGGAGAGTGCCCAGGCAGCATTGAGACCAGGTCAGCTCTGCCCTTCTCCATCCTCACCTTGCCCTGCCCTCCCGGGGGCTCTTTGCTGGCCAGTGCCCCATGCCCTGCCCAGGGATGCCTGTCCAGTGTGCCTACAAACCCGTTCACCTCCCAGGTCATGCTCAACCAGAAGACCTGGAACGTGCATGCCCTCTTCATGAGGACTCAGCTCTCAGGCTCCCAGAGGGCGCTGGGGGGTCTGTGTTGGCCTAGCTACACCTACAGCTTCAGCCCTTTCCTGGTGGAGTAAATTTGAGAGGGAGGGGGCCAGATGCCACACAGATCAATAGAAAAGGAGATCTTCCTGGGCCTGCCCCTTCCCATCACAGGGCAGTGAGTGGGAGGGCAGAGGGGCATGCTGGCACAGCTGACTCAGGCAGGCCTTGGGCACACAGTGGGGCGTTGGGAAGAAGGTGCTGCAGAGCCCCAGCTGGCTGCTTCCCACACTTGTGCAGACAGCCCCTGGCACAGGGAACCTCGGAGCAGGGTAGAGCCCCGGGCACAAGGACCCTTAGAGCAGGGTAGAGGCCTGGGCACGGGGGCCCTCAGAGCAGTGCAGAGGCCTGGGCACGGGGACCCTCAGAGCAGGGTAGAGCCCCAGGCACGGGGACATCAGAGCAGGGTAGAGCCCCGGGCACGGGGACATCAGAGCAGGGTAGAGCCCCGGGCACAGGGACCCTCAGAGCAGGGTAGAGACCTGGGCACGGGGAACCTCAGAGCAGGATAGAGCCCTGGACATAAGGACCCTCAGAGCAGGGTAGAGACCTGGGCACGGGGAACCTCAGAGCAGGGTAGAGCCCGGGCACGGGGACATCAGAGCAGGGTAGAGCCCTGGGCATGGGGACATCAGAGCAGGGTAGAGCCCCGGGCACAAGGACCCTCAGAGCAGGGTAGAGCCCCGGACATGGGGACATCAGAGCAGGGTAGAGACCTGGGCACGGGGACATCAGAGCAGGGTAGAGCCCTGGGCGCTGGTAGCCCCAGACCCTCGCTTCGTGAAGCTCAGAGTCCAGGGCTGAGGGGTTCTGTGCTCCCATGACTGCCCTGTCCCTCAAAGTCCAGCAGCAGGGCCTTTCTTTCCCAGCACAGCCCAGCACACAGCTGGGGGTAACCCTGGGGTGCAGGAGAGGGCTGCTTCTCTGCCCAGCCTGCTGCTGCCGGAAAGCACCCCAGGTCCAGGAAGGTATTCATGGCTGAGTTGAGGTACAGGCTTCAGGAACTCCATGCTCCACGCCCCAAATCCCCCAAACCCCAAAGCTGGGGCTCAGTGTGAAGGACATGCCTGCCTGGGGGAAGCATTGGTAAGACACAAGCAGATTCTAGGATGGGGGGACCTGGGAACAGGAGACTCGAGCACTAACTGGTTAACTCTGTCATGAGTTTCCCACCCTCAGGGGCTCGGGCACACATGTAGGATGTCAGGTGTAGCATACGTGTGTGTATAACAGGCATCTGAGCTCCACACCCACATGTTGTAGGTGCTGCACACACGCCTCATGGTGGGACCAGGGGAGGCGAGCTCAGCGGCCCCGGTCGGAACAGCCTGCCAGGCCTCCCGGAGCCTTCTCTCCACTAATTGGGGGCAGACGCGTGCTTTGGTCAGTAATAGTTTCCAGACCCACAAGCCGTGAGGACCCCAGCATTGCCACAAAACTATGTGTGCCATTTCCTGTGTCTCATTCTGGGAGCTCCTTGAGATGGTTGTAAAGAAAGGAAAGGAAACAGCAGAGAAGAGCTGGGGTCAGGCTCTCCTTTCTTGCCGGGCATGAGGTGTGTGGAGGGCTGGACCAAGACAGACATGGGTCGGAGGCACTGCGTGCCTGGGCTTCAGTAGCCTGTGCGGTCGGATGGCCAAGAGGCGCGTCCTTGTGTTCACTGCTGTCCCCACTGCTCAGCCCAGGATGTGGGAGCTGCTGGCAGGCCCCCAGGAGCAGCTCCTTGGGAGGGGAGAGTGAGGGCGCTGCCCTGTCGTGAGGCTGCAGCCACAGGCCCCCTGCTGCCCATCCTCCTCAGGCTGGCAGGGCTGAGTACACAGACAACATGAGCCAAGGAGGGCTGGTCTGCCCAGAGCTTGTCTGCACCAGCCCCGCAGCCCCGCTTACTCAGACTTCCCTGCCCTCACAACAATGGCAACATTTCAGTGTTTCCTACAGGTCACGAGGCCACAAGACTGAGAAGCCGGAGGCTCCAGAGATGATCAGCCAGGCTCCTCAGCACAGAATGGCCAGGTTAGTCATCAGCTCCGGCTGGGGCCTCCCTTCTCCCCTTCTGATCATTCAGCACCCACCCAGCCAAGCCTGGAGGGTGGGAGGCTGACTCGCTACATGCTGACAGCAGTGCCTTCCTCCCCTCCTCCCTGACCCTTTCCAACAAAGTCCAGTTCAACACTTGCTGCCCAGTCCCTGGGGCCGGTCAGGGCACAGCTAGACAAGGACAGAGAGTACTGAGCCTCCTGGCCTTCCAAGGACCCCTGGGCTGAGTCCACTGATCCACTGCACATCATAGCCCCTCTCCCACCATGGAAACGTGCGTACCCAGGCCTCAACCCCGACCCGCCATGTTGTGCCCATTATACCCGCCTAAGGCCACAGCATCCATGGGGAGGGACCTTCCATCGTGGTGTTCACACTCCACAGTGTCACTGTTAGCCAGGCCTTCTCGTTAGGAGCAATTGCCTCTCACTGCACCCCTCACACCTTCCCCAGACGTCCCTAAAGAACCCATCCACCTGTGCCACTCACACCGCCAGGGTGGCTCTCCTGCGGCCCAGCGTCAGGCACACAAGGCACTCTGGGTGTACCAGTGGAGTGATGAAAGAAAGATTGAATGAGTTACCAAGTAAATGAACAAGTGCCTGAATGAATGAATGAGGGTGGATGAATGAATGAGTGAAGTATGAGTGAAAAATGAGTGAGTGAGTGAATGAATGAATAAGTGAGGGAAGAGTGAAAAATGAGTAAATGAATGAATGACTAAATAACTGAGGAATGAGTGAAAAATTAGTGAATGAGTAAAGGAATGAATGAATGAATGATGAATGAATGAACGAATGAGTGATCAGTGAATGAATGAATGAGTGAGTGATGAATGAATGAATGAGTGATCAGTGAATTAATGAATGAATGAGTGACCAGTGAATGAATGAATGAAGGCATGAGTGAGTAAATGAGGAGCCTGAATGCGTGGTTCTGGACAACCAGTCCCGCACTCAACAGTCTGTGCTGGAGTAGAGGGACGGGTATACCAGTCACCTGTGCCACCAAGGGTCCAGTAACCCTCAGCCTGGATTGGGGCACCTCTACAGCCACCTGCACCCCAGCCCAGGTGCCCTTGACTGACCCCTAGATCCCTGGGGGCCCCAGCTGGCCACTCACCTTGGTCACAGTCCTTGCCGTGGTAGCCAGCCGGACACTGTTTCTGACACTCGCCGCTCTCAGCGTTGCAGGCCACACCTGTTGGGCAGGTGCATGCCTGCCGACAGCCTGGCCCGAAAAACCCCGGCTGGCACTCTGTGAGGAAGAAGACAGGGAGGTCAGCGGCTTCCAAGACACCCCGGCCTGACCCCCACCTGCACTTACCGAGCTCGCACCGCTCCCCTCGGAAGCCCGGCTTGCAGGCACAGCTGCCGTCCCTCCGGTCGCACGACCGCGTGTTCCGCTGCACACAGCGACACTCTTCCGAGCAGCCAGGTCCGAAGGCCCATGGGGGACAGGCTGCAGCCAGAGATGCCACGGGACAGGTGCACAGCTGTCAGTGCCACCTTCCTAGCTGCATCCACGGAGCCCCCACCTTCCAGAACCACACACCGAGCTGTCTCCAGAGCCCTGCACAAGCTAGTGTGTCCCCCACAGCCACCGGGCCCTTTATTAACCAGCACCTGTCCCCAGGGACCTACGAGGTTTGTGCCCATTTGACAGAAAAACAAGGCCCAGGAGAGTCCAGGGAGTCACCCAGGTCACTAGGCAGCTCTGTTTTCTCAAAATAAACCCAAAACGAAGCTGCACTGAAGCTTGCTGTCCCCACCCGCCCTCGCTCCAGCAGCCAGAGCCGCTTCCCTCCCAGATGTCTGCAGACCCTGTGGATCTGCCATAGCCCAAGGCACATCTTGTTGCCTAGAAGTTTCCAAGGGAGACTACCCTGCCTGGCATTGGGGGGGGCAACTTCCATGTCACCCCAACTCTGGGTGGCAGTAGCTGGAGCCCTGCACACTCCTCAGCCCACCTGGCACCCTGGATCCAGGCTTACAGGCTGCCCTTCCCCCTCACCACATTGTACCCTGAGGCTGGGGGATACCCAGCCAGATGCCCTGAAAGTCAATTATGTGAAGAGGGTAGGCCAGGGGGGACCCTAGCTATCCCCAGTCCTAAACTTGAGTTCCTCATCCACAAACAGTCACAGCAAAGCCAGCCCAAAAGGCATGCAGTGAGTGAGGTACGTGACCTGCCCCTCTGACCACCGCAGTGTGGTGGGACTCACCGAGGTGACAGAAGCGGCCGTAGAGCCCTGGGTCACAGAGGCAGGCCCCGTAGACACGGTGGCACCGGCCTCGGTTGGCACAGTGGCACTTCTTCCGGCACTGCTTGCCGTAGAAGCCTTTGGGGCAGCCTGGGGTAGGGGTGGGCATAGTGAGAAGGGGGAGTGGGCATAGCCCACGGCACACCAAGGGCTTCTCTTAAGGACACAGGACACAGAACAGCTGCCAGGACATGGTTAGAGGGCTCTGGATGGATGCACCCAGGAGACAGAGGGACCACGAAGACAGGACAGGCCCAGGGTGGACCAGCTGGACCGTCCCTCCCCTCCTGCTCACCATCCCATCCAATCCTGTGGCCTGGATGTTGGCACAGCCTACAACACACCAGAATGGCAGAGATATCTCACCCCAATCGCATGGAGCACCCCAACTTCTGACCCACCGTTGTCACCAAGACCAGCCTCCAGATCTCAAAGAGGGACAGATGCCCCAACTGGACAGGGTCCGAGTCAACACTCCAGGGGCCCCGAGTCACATCCCTCCTCCCAGGTCCGTCCGTCCTGTGTGCCTCTTACTGAAAGGTACAGCAGCATAGCAGGTGCTCTGAACAGACACGTTCACACACCCAAACCCCTAGAACCTGAGAGCACAACTCTTTTGGGAGAGATGACTTTGCAGCTAAAAGGAAATTACGATCTTGAGAAAATAAAAGCTGGCAGAGCTTATGTCCAGTTAGACGAGAAAGGCACAAGGGGCTTAAGACAGAAGAAAAGATGGAAGACAGAGGCAGTGTGAGTGATGCGGCCACACGTCAGGGACCCCGGGAGGCTGGACACTAACAGGGTCCCCTGCAAGCCTGTTGGTCATACTCTGAGTGCTGGTCTCCTCCAGCATCCTACACAGCCATGAGTGAGCCCTGTGGGAGCCCAGCCGAGACCCGGGCCTCCAGGAGTCAGGTGGTGGTTATTATTATACGTCACTGAGTTGATTCCTAATCATTGTGATTCCATAGCTGCACAGTAGAGCTGTGTCACAGGATGCACTTTCCTTTAAATTGTGATTTGAATGAACGTTTACAAAGCAATTGGTTTTCCATCCAATTGTTCATTCACAATACTAATTACAAGAACTACAACATAATACCTTTTTTCCACTTCCTCCCTATGATTCTGATTTCCACTAATCCTTCTGTCTTCGGGGCTTTGTCTGTGGGGAAACGCTGCTCTTCTGCCTCTTTGTGGCCAGTTGTTCTAAGGAGTGTTTCTCTGCTGTTACTGGTCACCTGAAATGCTGTTATGTGGCTGTAATCTTTAGAGGCGCTCATTACAAGGTCTTTTCTTCCGTGGAGTGGCTGGTGTATTTGAACAACTGACCTTTCAGTTAGGACCAGAGCATTTAACCATTGTGCCACCACGGCTCCTTGGGGAAGCCATAGAGCATTCCATGTTGTTGTTGTTGATACATACTGTCCAGTCAGAACTGACTCATAGCTAACCCTCCGGAGGGTTTTCAGAGACAGTAAATAGCACAGGAGGAAACTGCCCATTTTTCTTCCCTGGAGCAGCTTGTGGATTCAAACTGCATGCCTCAGGGTTGGCAGTGCAACACCTTAGCAACTAGGTCACCAGAACTCAGGTCCACAGAGCAGATGAAATCCATAGCTCTGGCTGCACACTGGGCCTCAGGTCCCCTCAGCAGGTGGAGAGGGAGCAGGGCCCCAGTGGTCTAGGAGCTCAGAGGCTGGCAGAAGGGGCAGAGGCAGGGAGCCCTGAGGGCAACCTATTGTTGTTGTTGTTGTTGTTATGTGCCATCGAGTCGCTTGCAATTCATAGCAATCCTATGTACAACAGCCCTAAACTCTGCTCTGTCCTGTGCCAATCACACTATCTCTGACACTCCCATCCGATTACCCCAGTCACTGCATCAATCCACCTCATAGATGGCCTTCCCCTCCTGTGCTGTCCCTCCACCCTACCAAGCATTATGTCCCTCTCCAAGGACTGGTCCCTCCTTACAACATGTCCAAAGTATGTTAGACTGTTAGACGGAGCCTCAGAATCCTTGCCTCCAAGGAGCCGCCCGGTTTGACCCTTTCCAGGATGAATCTGTTTTCCTAGCAGTCCATGGTACTCTCAATAACTTTCTCCAGCACCACAGCTCAAAGTCATCAATTCTCCTTCTATCCTTCTTGGTCATTGTCCAACTCTCTGATGCATAACGAGTGATTGCAAAGACCATGGCCTGTATCAGATGCACCTTAGTCTCCAGGGAGACACCATTGCTCTTTAGTACTTTGGAGAGGTCTCTAACAGCAGACTTCCCCATGGCAATATGTCTTTTAATTTCCTGGCTGCTGGTGCCAAGAGTGTTGACTGTGGAACCAAGCAAACTAAAGCTGTGAACAATCTCAATCTCTTCACCATCCATCCTGATGCTGCCAATTGGTCCAGTGGTGAGAATCTTTGTCTTCTTGACATTGAGCCTCAATCCATATTGGAGGCTGCAGTCCTTGAGGGCAGCTTAGTCTCCATGAATTACAGTTGCCCAAGTATCAGACAGGGATTGCTCTCTGCCCCCTAAGGCAGGAAGCCTGCAATTTATAAAACATGGTAGTTACTGTATTGTATTGTATTGTATTGTATTGTATTGTATTGTATTGTATTGTATTGT